GTATCACAGTCACCACGGAAGTGTCTCACCCACACGAAAAGTAATCCCAATGACTTACACACTTCCTCTGATAGTGTAACATCTCCAAAGGAGCTGTTACAAAGTCAACTGCACTATCTCATACCTGCCTAATGGGTCCACCAGAGCCATTAGGACGTCAGTTATATGGCAAGGCTCCTGCCAAAGCTATTATCAAGTCATCACATTGTTTCACACACTTTCTTCGACATTCATATGGTTCCTGAGGAACTGTTATCACTGCTATCGACGTGTCCTGTATAACTTGTACTACCGGGGGAAAACAAACAAACAATAGCAAAGTAAAGAAACGTAAAACAAACAAATTCCCTCCATTAAATGTACATGAATGGCCCCACATGGTCAAATATCAGAAGGAATGACTCCTTATTTTGGTATAAGTATTACATGCCATTCAAGAAACCCAGGTGTTAGGCTAACCATTTTTTCACAACTTCAGATGTTCCCTCGAAGCAGTTTAGGGTCTAAGAACGGCATATGCATGGCTATGATGGTATGTTGTTTATTGGTAGCACATGTCATATTACCAAGTTTCTGTGGTATGCAGTACAGAAGCAATAGGGAGCAGTACTAATGGATTTCTTGGCTGTTATAGGAGTGTATCAGATATTCCCTTACCTCTAAAGTTCTTGAGCTGCACATAGGGAGCTCAGCTGCCCAACAATCATGGAAATCAGCAGGGCTTCTGAGTAGTTGAAATCCCAGCTCTACCTTAATGGACTACTATATGATGACAATAGGAAATACCATAAAACAAGTTAACCCTCACCCAGGTCTGAAGTGTTTTAGTGAATTTCCTCTCTGTCTTCTATGTTTAGGAGAACAAGACTGTTGACAATTGAAATGTATTCTTTATGATAAGACAAGTGCAAGTATTTTCACCTAGTTTGAAATGAGCAGAAAGTAGGCTGGACTCTGCTGGGCTACAGAGTTCCCTGGGACACCAGATGTTTCAGAAACCATATTGCATGTCTTTCTAATCCTTGACAACACAGACTTCACCCTATAGCACCTATCCCACAATATGTGCATAATAAATAAATAGTGATAGATAACCACATCTGACATTTATTGAGTATTTAATTATAACAGACACACTGTGAAATGCTATATATATAACTTTTTTTCATTTAATTCTCACCGAAAAAGAAACAACCCCCCCCCCAACTTTGAAATAGGTAGTGTCTCCATTTGATGGATGAAGAAACTGAGGCTTGGAGAGCTTTAGTTACCCGTCCAAGGACACACAACAGGTAAGTGTCAGAACTAGGGCACAAATCTAGGTCTATCTTATACTATAGCTGTTTTTAACCACTCACCATACAGAGAACATTGTTTATTTAGATTGTATTAATATAGTCACTTTTACTTTAATAAATGGTTTCTTATCCCTTGTGCTCTTAGGGCAAGCTGCACATATAATTATCACGGTACTAACTAAATTGTATTAAAATTAGCTTTTTATCCTCTCTAGTAGACCTTTTTGGGTATATGTACCCACTTGACACTGACTGCTTTGCACTGGGAACTGCTTCCAGAATCAAACAAAAGGGCTCTCAGAAAGCTACATTTGAATTACTGACCTTATCATCTGACTGTAGCTCACAGGACCAGTGGTAGATATCTGGCTCAAGCTGGGAAAATTATTCTGTCTCCTTGGAATTTAGAAATGGCACTAAAAGAAACATGTGGTTAATCTTAGCTTCTTTCCTGAACAGAGAGATATAAACTGGGAAACTCTATGGGGTTTTATGCCTGTTTTATGGATAGAGATTTAGAGAAAGTCAATCTGCAGAGACAGGGCTGAGGAAATAGGTTCAAAAGCAAAAGGCAAAGTCCTGGCAATTCTTCTGATCTAGACTCTTCTTGTGATCTAGCCGCATTCTTGCCCTGAGTCCCATGAAGCAATTTGTTTTTGTTTAAGCTAGTTCATGTTGGTTTCTGTTACCTGTGATAAACAATCCTAACTAATAGGGCATCAACTTCTCCCACTGGATTAAACTTCTTCAGGTTGGGGATTATGTATTATTCACCTTTATATGTCCCCAGTCCTCAGTACATAACTTGGCAAAGAGTAAGTGCTCAGTAAATATTGCTTGCACAGAAATATTATCATCAAGACTACAACTATAAATAATTTCTTTGCGATTTACACTTTGACACTTAAAGGTGCTTTTCTCTACCTATTTCTCTCCAGTTAGCTTCTTGGTAAACAATTCATTTTCACACTTTGTAATCCAACTGTTTCATTCAGGCCATATGTGAAAAATGCATTCTTGGAATTGATTATTCAAATTTAGCTGATGAGATAGTGTTTTCCTCCAGTTCAACATACAGTCAAATTTAGTAATTGAGGGATATGCTAATCACTGAGTTTGATGCTCAATTAGGACTGCTAAACTCTTCTAAGAAATACCCATTGGATAACCTGTCAGAGCAGAGTTGTGTGTTAGATGACCAGAGATCTGACCCACTTTAGCATTTCTATCCCTGTAAGAGTTGCACAAGATCAGAGAAGATCCACAAAAATATCTCTCAGTTTAATTTTCCCCTCAGAGCAATGCAAATTTCTCATTTATTTAGTAGCGACTGTGCTCCGGATCCCACGGTTAAGTATCGACCAGTAAATAAATCAAGCCCTGTCTTTAAGTAGGTTTCAGTCTATTGTTTATTAACAACCATTGTGAGGATAGGAAATATGCAACTCTAGCATTAGCCTATGATGAATAGTAATGTTGTTAGTAAGGTGAAATGGGAGTGGGGAAGGGACAGAATGAATAAAGCATGATGATTGATATCAAAGTGTCACCCAGATGTTGGCTGTTCATAGGTCCCAGGATGAAGCTAACTAAAGTGAATCTGCATTTTTCATAATATATAATTAAGCATTAATAGATTATGAAGAGTTTACTTAGGGCAAATTTGAGGGAATGAAAACACAATGAATTATTGTTCTGATACCCCTATGAAGGCCTTGAAATCCAGATCCCCTTCTGGCTTCCTTTCCCTGTACTTCAAGGCTTTTCAGACCAAGTGTTTCTATGCTGAAGCTGAGGGGTATTCATTATAATTCTTCATGGGTTGTAATATGTCAGAGACTTAAATTCTATTAAGGGCAACCAAATAGAGTTGATGAAGGATGAAAAAAAACATTCTGAAAGGTTTGACCAATTAATGAAATGAAATAATCAAGTCCTTACAGACATGATTTTGGAAATGTAAGTAGAAAACCTAAGTCATACTCTTGGGATAGACAGAATTTTAAGTGTCTTTGAAATCACTTCTTAGAATCTTTCTCAGTTGGACAGCTTACCCAAATTACCCTATCTTCACTTTCATCCCATATTTATAGCAGTGATACATAAATTGTCCAAGCTGGTCCATGATATTGTGCCCATTGCCTTATCATTAATCTAAAAACCAGAAAGTATGTGAAGACAGAAACAAAATAAAATGTCATTGACACTAATTGAGGCACAGGGATGGAGTGGTGTGGAGTCTGAGATAGTGAAGCATATAAATTAAAAAATATTTTAGGCGGTTTTACTCTTTTCAAATATAACATATACAAACTTAAATTAATAAAATAGATGCCCTGCTAGGCATGCTTTCATGAATAGATGAGAGATCAATGGGAAACAAACATCAAATTCAATTTATTGAAAATAACTTGTTTCTTCAAATTAGCATGCTTTTGGAAAAACCATTTACACTCTCATCTCAACTCAGACCTCCTCTGCAGGAATGTGTGGAAATGCTAAAGGCAGAGGCTAGGCCTAGTTATCATCAATTGAAAAGTTATGGAATCCACATTGGTGAAATCTTACCATAGGTCATAAATAAGATCCCAAATTATTTACTCCTTATTGAAAATAGTTGCAGGAGTCAGAGTAAGACATACAGAACTCTAAGCTGAGCAATGGAAAGTTTCTCAAGTTCACATCTTACATTCATATGTGATCCAAGGGAGGAAAAAATGTCTATTTGGAAAACAATGTATTGCACTTAGCTAACTGGTTTCTGAGTTGTTTTAACATGCCCTCATATGTAAAATGGGGATGATAATAGAATCTGTTTCACAGATTGGTCATGAGGGTGAAATGAGATAAAGATATAAAAAGTATGTTTGGAAATGTGAATCCAATAATAACATTGAACATTCATGTTGTACTTACATGTTACAAGTATTGTTCTAAACCTTTATATGTCAGCCCCCTTCCAATTTTGAGTCATTGCCCTGTGGTGGGATGTGAGCATCTAACCATAGGTGTTTGAGAAGGGCCCCAGCACAGACTGAGTTAATAAAATTATTTACAAATGCTGCTTTCAGTATCCCTCTGTAAGGGGGCAAAACCCAATGAGCACAATGAAGGCCAAAGTAAAGGAACACCAATGTCCCCTAGCTGAGGAATGACACACTATAAATACAGGTTTTCAGAAAGAAATGAACAATATTTTTTTTCTGTTCAAAAGTGTTAATTGTAATTGATGACATAGATAAAGTGTGATTCTAAAGCCAAGCTGGGAGCATCTGGAGGAAAAGAACAAGGCCATCTGCTAGCAGCATCAGAAAGTTATGATGATATCTGAACTATACTGAGTTAATGGTTGGAGCCATGCAAAAAATGGTAGATATGTAGGAAGTCATGAAGCCAAACCCAACCCAACCTGATTTCAATCTCTGCCCCCATGCTAAATCAATTGTTTTCCCATCCCATCTGAAATCCTGTCTTGTACTTCTCCCCAGATCTCTCATCACTTCCTCTTTACCACCAACATATACACATGAAGTTTTCCAAGGGAAAACAAACCAATAAGCTGCCATTGAACTAATCTCTGACAGATTCATTGATTAGGCCTGTGTGTTATTTGTCAAAGAGGCAGGGTTCCACTTTGTGGAGTGAGTTCAAGAATGGAACAAGGTAAAAATAACTGGTGGTCAAATATCTGGAAATACTTGCCTTGAGTAGACCCAGCTTGAGCCTCCATGTCACAACAAACAGGAGAGAATTTAAAACCTGTAACAGCAAACATTTTACTAATTATTCCTTGTCTAAGTGATCTGGGATTCCTCAAACTTTAACCCTTACCCTTTATGCAGTGGTGTTTTTCTTTTAAATAAAAATTTGATTGAAATGTCATTCACATATCATAATATTCATTCTTTTAAAGTACGTGATCCAGTGGTTTTTTAGTATTTTCACAGAGTTGTGCAACCATCACCACTATCTAAGTCTAAAATATTTTCATCATCCCCCTAAAAATACCTCATACTGAGGGTCTTGCAGGGGTAAAAGAATGGTAGAGCCTGCTGGGGATACTTCTTCCTTTTATTTTAATGTTTCAACCCAGTAAACTCGCTGTAAATTCCTATGTCAGGAGTGAGATGAAGGAGAAGATGTCTTGGCAATACAGGAGATCATCATTTTACATGATTTTGGTCATTTTTTTCTTGATCAACAGATGAAGCCCAGAAAACTGTAGTGACCAGGCCAAGATCTCCTTTCATCCTAATGCTCTTTCACTTAAATGAATATGCATGTGTACACAAAATATGTTTCCTTCTTGTTTCCGTACTTTACCTACTACACTGTTGGCCAAACTCAGCAATACACACATATACATGAAAATAATCTAAAAAAAAAAAAAAAATCAAGACCCCAAAGATATTTGGTGATATTTCAAAGTGTTATGGACTATCATTTAAGAGATGATATTCTAACTAGTGGGCAACTGCTCATTCCTGATTATATCCTTGTGGCCAGTGTCCCCTTTGGGCTGAAGGAGGCAGAAGAGGACAGAATAGAAAAAGCTTTAGGTACAGGGCGGTTGGCTGCCCTCCGCCACCTGAGAAAATACTAATTAGCCACTGCTAACAGACTAGGCCTTATGGGCATGGTGATGGGGATCTATGAAATTTAGACAAACAGAATGATGGAAGGACTAGATTAATGTACTGAATAAGCATTAATGTGCTTTTCATGAAAGAGTTTTGTTCTTCAATAGACACAAAAGAGTAGAAATAAAATCAATTACCCACTTTCCAACAAATCAAAAAGATAAACCTTTTCCTTTTCTAAAAGTTGCAAATATATATATATATAGTATATATTGTAATATATATAGTAATTATATATATATAATTGCAATACAGTGATACTGCTGTTAGTACTTATTGCCTGGCAAATGGCTGATGTTAATTAACTTCTGTTTTTTAAAATCATTTCAGTCTAAGCTGGTTAATTTGAATATGTCTGTCTGTACCATCAACAGGTTAATCTGAATTAAAACAGAAAGCACATACAGAGTATGCTCGCTATACAATTGTTCATCTCATCGTTCATATATTGATATAAACCCAAAGTACATGAAATGAATACTTTCTATAATAAACCCCACTAGTATTGCACTGGAAAATAAAGATGAAAATAAAAGATGAGTAATAAATAAGACATGCACAATATTGCTGATTATATGAGATTATCTCCCTTGAGGGTTCACCAGAAATGAAACGTATTTTGTCTACCATTGTAAATAAATGTATCTACGTGACAGATATTTAGGCACATTTTGTCCACGGGACTCTGCTAACTTGCATCTCCATTTTGCATGTTAAATAAAACATGGGCAGATTTGGGGAAGGAAAACAAAAGAAAAGCTAGTAACTGTGCTTCCTCTGTGTTTTACTTAAACAGTATAGGCAGTTTTATTACCATTTTCCCCATCAGACTTTCTTTCATGGTCAGTGTCGGTCAAGGACAATGCAGAGTTGGCCCGGCTGGACAAACAGGAACTATGTTCTGATTTCATTCCCCTTATCCACATTCTCAGTGCATGGTCAGGTGAGGCAGCACCTTCTGTCTCTGTGTCCACATCAGATCCCATCTCCAACTGGTAGCCGTGCTGAGAGATGCTGTGCATGTCCGTCTGGTAGCCAGAGCACAGAGTGTGAGGGGTTTCACAGAATTCCATTTCTGAGAAGAAACAAAGTTCAGAGAACAAATTTAGAAGTATGAAGAAATGCCCAATAAAATTCTACTTTTTGCTTTTTGTCCTCACATGCCCTCCCCTACCCCCCCCCCCCATTGCTAGTAATTATGTCTTTTTGCAAAGTTAGAATTCTGGCCTTTTATTTATGGTAGCTAGGATTCTGTGCTTATTTTGCACTTCTGTAGCTTAAAATTATGCTCCTGTTGATTCTTACAAGGTTCTGGAAAAAGCATGCCCGAAATAGCTTTATAGCTACAATTTTAGGTTGCACAAAATGTAATGAAATAAGTGTGTGCAGAGGAGTATAAAGTGTAGAGAGCTGTCCTTTAAAAGATACTTCTCTTCTAGGAAGAATATATATGATCTGCAGAGCACACCTATGCTTAAAATATTAAAATTATTTGCTTTTCTAAGTATTTCATGCACATTGGAGTTAAGAATAAATAATTCAATGTGAAAACTCTGGGAAAGAAACATTAAATTCAAATACACTTTTCTAAAGTATTTTTCCTAAGACATGGTGATTTAAACTCTAAAATTACAAGTGCCTAATATTATTACTTTCTGTTGCCTTCAAAGGAGTTTAAGGCCTGCTTTATGCTAATTACTCTGTTCAATTCATTCTTTCAACAAATACATAAAAAAGTATTCAGTAATATATTGTACCTCTGCAGTGCTCATGGTCTGGATGTTCCCCTCTTCCCCCCCCAAAAAATCTCAGAATTATAAAATGTTTAGAATTTTTGAGAAGATGTAATGAATCTCCGTTTTTTACAGTTGAGGAAAATAAACTCCAGAGGGTAGATATTATTTGTCCATAGCCCACACCAGATAGCAACAGAGCCCTTTTTTCTAAAACACCCATCTGGGCATGGCTTCTGCTAGACACCAACCAATGAAGCCCCATCAGCTTACTGCATGAATAAATCAGGCATTCAGTCTTATAGTCAATTGTACATTCAGTTATGGCAAGGTGTCAAAAAGGGGAAAAATGCTTTAACAATCCCTAATAAGTTAATGAAAAATGACCACATGCCAAGACATATCATCTGAAATGTCCATGTAATACTTAGATAAGGTAATCCGGAGATGTAGTACACTATATAGGATTTTCTCAGACTGACATCAGAGACAGGGTATGTAATTTGGCCAGGAAGAAGCTTAACTGAGTGCATCTAATCCTTAGCACATATCAATAAAATGCAAACTGTAACATGAATTTAATTCTTTGAATACAGAAAGTGCTGGACCTTAGACCATATACTAGAGAAGAATGCAGAATATGAATATATTTTTAAATAATTATTTTGAGACATATTATTGCTAAATAAGAGTTTAACAAATAAATTCTTAATGCTCATTTAATAGCCATTAGGTGCCTAGCACTGTGCTTTGTGAAACAGATATTGTAGGCAAATAAAACTACTATAATGTATTAGGAAAACTCAATTAAAAATGAATTCTTTCAGGGTTATAAGTCATTGCTGTGTGTATTACTTTATGATTTCTGTGATGAATGTCTTTAAGAATAATTCTGTCTTTCTACCTTTCTACAAAAATTTGTCTAAATTCCAAAGGAGTAATGTTTAAACAATAAGCATGGTTTCCACTTACCAAACATAAAACCTTATCAAACCATGGTTCTCCTTGCCATAAGGCTAAAACTAAAAATCCATTTCGCCCAATATCATAGCCATCTAGAATATTAGGATCAGTTAATATTCATGCCTCTTAATTTCACAATGTTTCATTATCCAATCTTATTGTGCAGTTGTTGCTATAGCAAACTGGTAATGAACCTGTCAGCTTGAAGCTGAAAGAATGGAATTTTATATAGGCCTGTATTCACAACTTTCTTCATTTAGACCAGTGGTTCTCAAACTTGTCTGCTTCAGAATCACCTGGAAGGCTTGTTAAAACACAAATTGCTGTGTTACACCCCTACCCATGCTCCCCACTTTCAGTTTCTGATTCAGCAGATGTGGAGTAGGGCCAGAGAATTTACATTTCAAATGAGTTCCCAAGTAATGCCCATGTTGCTGGTCCAGGGACCACACTCTGAAAACTACTGACCTAAAGATTTCTCTGAAGTCAGTGGGAGCCAGGAAAAGGGGAGTAGTGAGGGTGCAACCTCATCGGTGACATTACCATAGATTTTGGCACACTATCTCTAATTTTATTTGTAGACATGAGAAATAAAGCATTTGCTCTGAATTGCTGTGAAGTGCCTCCGTTTGTTTTCCATGGATTCAGGGCACTAATTAGGAAATTTACTTCCAAAAGCATAGACTTGCCTTGAGTTTCACTCATACAATGGCATATGAGACTTGATTTTCCAAAGATTTTAATATGTACATCTGAGTCATGACATTTTTTGGAAAAGGATGAGCAAATAAAAATAATTACAAAGCCAATTTGTCATTCCAGATTAATGAAGAGCTCTGGCAGATGTAAGCAGAGTCCCTTTTTATTAAAGAGATTTTTTTCTCCTTCAAAAGGAAATTTGAACATGGATTTGTTCCCCTGTAAGGAAAAGTCATGTAATATGATTAAAAAAATTGTATAGAATGCACAACATTTTCTATTGGAATTATACCCTGCTTTGAATACAAAGACTAAATCACAAATTCTCTAATTAAATACAGTCAGATAACAGTATGCTTCCTAGTCAATCTATAAGTAGAAAAAGTAACAATCCAAGTAAGGTAGCAAGCAGTTGCTCTTTTTTTATTAAGTTGTAAAGCAAAAATTTAAAAAAAGAAAGAAAAGTAAAAGAAAAAGAAAGAAAAGAAAGAAAAAAAGTTCACTCATTTACAGTAAATTATATTCATTGAACTGCCCCACTTCTTTTCTTGAAATCAATGTTACCATTGTAAAATATCTCCTTAAATACACAAAAGTCTTGGTGGTACTCAAAATCCCCATAGGATGCATTATCTATAAAGCACTTACAATGCACCATAAGTGGTTGTTTTCCAGCCTTGCTCATATAACCTTGTTGCCTACATATTCCCTAGAGAAGATAAAGTTTAGCTGGATTTATTACAGATCTATTCTTACCAAAAAGCTAATCATGAGAGAAATATAAGTACAACCTTAGAATATCTAAGATTTAGATAGATAGACTGGTACCACGAGAAATTACGTTTCAAGAGTAAACAGATAAAGATGTGATCAGGTCAATTACATATTTGATGCTTCACAAATATGTATTTAATTTTTATTCTAAAGAAAACCTATTTTGAAGCCTTACAAGAGACAAATTCTGAGCAGATTAATAAAGAGTTGAAATCCAATTTTGAAAATGGGCAAAAGGTTTGAAAAACCCCTTCACAACAAAAGAGATAGGAATGGCCAAAAAAAAAAAAGAAAAGATGCTCAATGTCATTAGTTACCAGGAAAATGTAAACTAAAATTACAATGAGATACCACTACATACTTACTAGAATGGCTAGAAAAATTCTGATCACACCAAGTGTTGACAAGACTGTGGAGCAACTACAACTCTCATACAGTAGTAGTGAAAAAGTAAAATGGTACAACCACTTTGGAAAACAGTTTGGAAGTTTTCTAAAAAGTTAAAGCTGTACTTACCAGGAGAATAATTACACTCCTGGATGTTTATTCCAAATAAATGAAAACTCCTGTCTACACAAAAATCTGTACAAGGTTGTTCATAGCAGCTTTATTCATAATAGCTAAAAAGTAGAAATGACCCAAGTGTCCATAAATAAGTGAATGCATAAACCAACTGTGGTATATCCACACAATGGTATACAAGGGATCTTCAAAAAATTCATGGAAAAATTTGTATTTTAATTCTATTTTTCCATGAACTTTTTGAATTACACTCATTTTACTCAGTCTTAAAAAGGAATGAACTATTGATACATAACAACATGAATGGAGTTCAAAATAATTATACTAAGTGAAAGAAGATAGACAAAAGGTCTACATATCCTATGTTTCCATTTATATAAAATTCTAGAAAATGCAAACTAATCTACAGTGATAGACAGCTGATCAGTGATTGCCTGAGGAAAGGGTAGAGGGAGAGATGGATAACAAAAGGACACAAGGAAAATTTTGGGGTGATGTAAATGTCTGTTATCTTGATTGTGGTGATAGTTTCACAGGTAGTTTCACATGCCAAAGTTTATCACAATGTACACTTTAAGTGTGTGCAGTGTGTGTGGTTGATTGTACTTCAATTATACCTCTATAAAGTTTTTGGTAATAGATTGTACACCACCAGATATAAAACAGCAAGGAGACTTTGAATCAGTTGATTTTCATAGGTGGAGCCAAGGGTCTGAGAGATAGAAGAAGGTTCTGGTCTTTTCTCCCCAGTGGAAGAGAGTACACGTAACACGAAGAAAAATGTAGTTAAAATGTTATCTTGCTTATATCTAAGCCAAGAGGCAATAAAGACTAACTGATGCGTGATTTCTCAGTGATCCTCTAAGACAGCACTTTTGACCTAGGGACATACCAGCTAAAAGCCAAGTTTAGGAGGGAAACTAAGGATGAAACTTATCACTGCTGAGCTTTCAGCAGCTAAGGGAACATCCTGTAGTTGGAGACCATGAGACTAAGATGAGTGGGTCTGACACACTGAGTTACATTAGACTCTGTTGATGTTAATAAATTGGTAATTTAAAAAAATTATGAAGTGCTAAATAAAGTGAACTACTATATTCTGTTTCTGAATCGAGGGCTTGATCTTCAGTTGTTCAGCCTGGAGAAGCCATTTATCAAAACTTGAAAAGGAAAGTAATAATTATCTATATCATTTTTCTTTCAGAAATGCCATTTCTGAGTTTCTGATAAGCTTGAGACTTTATTTTCCTTAAAATTCTACCCACCTACACTTCCTTTAAAAAGGGAGCTTTAAGGAATTACACTCAAAATAAATAATTGGAGGCCAAAACGTGATTAATCTTAGCCATGACTTGAGAAATTTGAGATATACCTTTTAATGAAT